AAAATATTTAGATATCGTGGTCAGGAGATCAGATTGGAGGCTACTGAAAAGCTATAAATTTGGGTTATCTTCTTGCCCGAGAACACGCAGTGGTCACGTGTAGTGGCTACACTGGACTCCAGTCCTGCCCTCAGGCAGTCGGCCAGGAAACCTCCTCTTGTTTTAAGAACTTGGTGCCATACGAACTCTTGCTCCACACAGACTGTAGGTCTGGAGAGGACAAGCTGTGGGCCGCCCTGCCATCGGCCAGAGAGCAGTTTTCTTGAGTCTGAAATGTCACAGTTTCATCCATCAGAAATCAACCACCCCCAAAGAGACCCGCAAACTCCCAGGGCCTCAGCAGTGGAAGGAGGTTTGGAGGTATTGACATTATCTGATGCCAGAACCTCCTACCGCGTGGGTAGGCACAATCCATCCTCTTTCTGACCACCCCTAGGGCCTGCGGTCTCATCGCTTCACCAGGCCATGCTGTTCCTGAGCTGCCCCGGTGGTGAGCACACGTTTCTCAGTCAGCTGAAAGCTGTCTCTCAGAAGCACCTGCCTGGCCACTCCCTGCCCCTTCCAAAGCCACACAGGTGTCCTCAGGAAAGGCAGGAGCCCAAAATACTGAACACGCATCCTGATGGGATCCGGCCTTACTTATCATATATATATTATATACATGATATAATATATATCATGACCAGAACTCAGTATTTTTTTCAAAAACACATCACCACCTCATGGAACCTGAACCATCCTTTTTCTTCTGGAATACAGATTCATGATACATCATCAGACCTCAACGCTTCTTCAGAGACTCACTCGATAGAAGGAGGGATTCTTCTCCAAACCACGTACTTAGAAAAGACGCTGTCAGCGCAGAGAGCCTGTAAGTAGTCATACGGATTGGGGGAGGAGTGTTCGGGGGCACACGAAACCATGGATGTTCTTCCTAATTAGAAAACCCAGCACCTCGCTCCTTTGTGTGGGTATGTCTGATGTTCCTGAAATTCTCCACTGCTTCCAGAAATCATAAAGAAGATGCCGGTTGGGACCGCCGCCCCCGCCCATCTCTTCCCCATGGGCCTCTGTGCTGTCAGATTCCTCCGGAGTCCTGCTCTTGGTACCTGATTTTCTCTGGGAGAGAAATGGGGGCAAGGAGGGGGCTTATCAGATCAGTCTTTATATTCTGGCTTCAGCTTTAGGTCACCTTTTAACAGGCAGGAGCCCAAAATGACAGCGGATCAAGAGGTGCCGTAAAACCTGACCTCAGGAGAGGACACACACACACGCACACCACACCACATATGTATATGTAGATATATGTGGGTGTGCGGGTCTGTATACACATACACTAACCCATTAACTTCTGTCTCTCACCTCAAACCTAAAGTGATACAAGGGCAGAAAGGGCAGGGAGGCCAGACATAGACTCAGAGCTGAGCTGTACCGCGAGTGAGCTTGATGGACAAGTGTAAGAGAGAAACCTCTCAAATCCACCTGGACTTGAGAGCCTGATTTCAGGGTGCCTCCTCCCCAAAGGCCCGTGGGGCCGACAGAGCAGTGGCCTCCCCAGAGATGTTCTCATCCTTGGCGGCTCTGAATATATTGCCAGCATGGCAAAAGGGAGTGGCAGACTGCAGGTCGTGGACCCTGAGATGGGAAGATAATCCTGGATTCTCAGGGAGCAACCACTCTTCAAAAGCAGAGAGCTTTTCTGGCTGAGGTCAGAGAGTTGGGCGGACGAGAGGCGGGAGAGCTTCAAAGCGTGGGAGGGACCTGACCCACAATTGCTGGCTTCGAAGAGCAAGGAAGTCATGAGTCAGAGAACGGGGCAAGGAAATGGGGCCTCAGTCCTGTACCCTCAAGAACTTGGTCAACCACCCATCTGAGCCTGAAAGAGGATTCTCCCCGGAGCCTCCGGATGAGAGTCCAGGCTGCTGATACCTTGATTTCAGCACTGTGGGACCCGGGGCAGACACGAGCCGAGCCTGCTGGACTTCTGACCCACAAAACCACAGAACAGTAAATTTGTGTTGTTCTAAGCCTCTAAGACATGGCCCGGTGCAATCTGGGCCTGTTATGAAAGGCTGCGGCCTGGAGGAGGAGGCAGGATGCCCTGCAGGCATGTCTGGACACTGTGAGTGGCCCGTCTTGCATTCAGAGCAAGCTGTGGCCGCCGCTGGCTCTGACGGGCCACGTGGCTACTGAGCCTCCTGAACACGGAAGGCAGGCCTGTGACAGCCACAAAGGGAAAACCTCAGCACCTACAGGTGGCAACACCCTTTGGAAAGGCAGCGGCTGAGATGCCTGGGAATTTTCGCAACCTGGGCGTAGAGAAAACTCTTTACCTCTACCTGAGGATGATATTTTGGGGGAAAATAAGCTAAAATCTGCTCTGAACCTAGTAGGGGCATTTCCCTTTTTCCTCCCCTTTCTATATGAATAGTTTCTCCAGCAAAGTTAGCATGATACTCTTTCTTTCTTCTTTCTTTCCCCTTCCTCCCTCCCTCCCTCCCTCCCTTCCTTCCTTCCTTCCTTTCAAGTTTATTTATTTTTGAGAGAGAGACAGAGAGTTCAAGCTGGCTCCATGCTGTCAGTGCAGAGCCTGACGTGGGGCTCGAACTCACAAACCATGAGATTCTGACCCGAGCCAAAACCAAGAGCTGGACGCTCAACCAACTGAGCCACCCAGGTGCCCCATTTTTTTTTTTTTAAGTCAGCATGTCACTCTTTCTAGCAACAACATTTGTCTGTTCCCCTTCCCGGGGAACACAGTGCTCTTGATTATACACACTCCGAGCACAGCCAGATCATGAGAGCGAGCAGATGTGTGTGGTCTAAAAGAACGGTTAGCAGAACCCGCCTGCTGCATGTATCGCCACAAAAAGAAGCTTGTTTGAAATCATTCCTGCCATGCGCGTAGACGATGCTTTGGTGTTGGGTGTTCTCGCTTATATCCCATATAACTGGTTTTGTCACCATGGCATGTCAAGTACGCAATGCTTGACTATCTCAGGTCAAAAACTTGAGATGTAAAAGGGTTAAAAGAAATGACCACAGGCCTCAGTATTCATTGTGAGGCAGCAGGAATCCAAGACCGGCCACCTGGTCCTTCCTTGTGACTCTCTCTGGGGTTAGGCTAAGAAGAGACCCACGAGCTGGGAGGTCTGTAGTAGATGCCATGAGGACCCATCAGCACCAACCACACACAAGAGGTGTGTGCCCTCTGCTAGAGAGGGGAGTGCTGTGCCCAACGGTGGCACCGAGGAGGAGGTAGCCTGCAGGCCCCAGGGAATGGGGCAGCTAATAGATCCCCCAGGCCTCAGGTCAGGCTTCTGCCTCCCCTCCCCACGGAGAGGAGTCCCTGTCACTGACGTCCCCTCATTGTCTGAAGTGCTCCACAGGCATCCTGCACAGGCATCCGGTGTCAGAAAAGTCACAGGTGCCAGGGACAGGGGAGGGGAGGTGGCTCAGGCTGCCACGCTCTTGAGGCTTCAGAAAGCATTCCAGCTGGCAGCCCAGACCTCAGTTCCGGTTCTAAGGTGCATTTATAAAACTTAATATGACCAGCATATTTTCATGATGTAACCAATTTCCTGAAAGACAGACAAGCCTCTTCTTCTGGGAAGAAAAGACAAGGCTTGACTATAAGATATGCCAAAGCAACATGCCTTGAAAATAGAAGGGCATGGAGGAGACCACGCTGGAGGCTGTCACCCCCTGCCAGGACTGGGGAGAGGGGTGAGGAGAGACATTTCTCATGAGGCCTATTCTTAGCAGCCACAAACACTGAGAATTTCATGCTCAGGATCACCTTTCTTTCTGGATAACTTCGAGCTAACTCTTGCTCCCCGGTTCCTTAATAGAAGATGGGACCCAAGTCCCCTTTGTATATCTTCCCTATGTCACCCATCCCCTTTTTAAGAGATTAGGTGACTATAGGATCTATACTTGCAACCAACATTCTGTGTTGCCTATAAACACAGAGGCACCAAAAAGGAGATACTTTATATTATTTGTTGTCAGATCTATCTTAATAACACCACCACCACCACACCCACACACCCACACACCCACACATCAGTTCCCAGGGACATGAGCCTTATCTTACTAATTAAATGATGTACATGATATATAGATCTTAATTAAGTTCTTCATTCATTGTTTAAGAACCCTCTACCACAAGATGAAGATTACTTTGGGGAGTAATGAGAGGTTCAAATCCAGTCTACTTGGTTACGTGAAGAAGAAAGAGAGCTGGGTCCCAGATGGAGTCAGGTCAATGGGTCCAGTGGGCCAACGCGAGACCAATGAATGTGAAACCTAAGGGGACAGGTGAGGCGGGGAGCCCATTCGGGCACATCATGGATGAACATTTTTCTTTCAAGAAGTTCAAAATTACCATGGTACATGCCCATATACACTCTTTGGCAGGATGGGATCAATCCGAATGACCTGAGATGGACCACCTTTAGTCCATTCAAGACTGCAAAAAGGTTCTGTTCCCGGATATAATGTAGGCCATCCAGGCTGCCAGAAGGGGTGCCCAATGAGATTCCCAGATGGAATCCATATAGAGGGTCAGAGGACTCCCGTCTGGTGACTGCATATCTAGAAGGCAACCCTCACACGGGCATCTATAAATACACTGCAGGGACCACCCCCCTGATCAAAATGAAGTGGAATGGATCTCGCAGCCCTCCTTCTACCCAAGCCAACCTGATTTAACACAAATCAGTGCAGGTTTCTGAGTGGGCAAGAATTTACACGTGGCTTTCTAGCTAAAGAGCACTTTGATTTAAACACGGCTTAAACGAGCCACTTTGAGGTTCAAGCATTCGGACTCTGCAACTCACGCAAGCGACTATGGGGAGTGTTCTGGAGGATTTATGGAATGCAAGAAAGTATGGCTTCCGAGAAGAAAAGCCAGGGCACTGACGAAGAGGTGGCTGGGTAGGTCAGTCCGATACTGAACACGTTAACATTGTGAGAAACAAGGCAACCAGAAAGGATATCTCGCAGGACTGTCCTTAAGTGCATTTAGGAATCCTGTTTGTTGCGAACCTGTGGGAAATGAAACCAAAATTTAGTATTCAAACATTCACCCCCAGGAAAACAGGCTTTGTGCGGAAAGCTCCCTCATCTACATAAAAATAATAGGTGTCTAAAGATCAATTAAATAATTATATTTTGTTGTGCGACGGCACCTAGCATACTGATCGGGACATTGAGATTCCGCTAAAGTTATTCAACCAGAAAATGGCAGATTCATAATTAGACCCGACATCTGCAGGGTATTTTTTCAATAAAAGCAGATGGATGTCTGCATACTTTCCCATAAATTATAGTTCTGATTACTCCTTTGTTTTCCTCATTTTAATAGGAAAACAGAATACTGTACGCTATTTTTTCCTCTTCTTTTATGAAAGACTGTTTTCCCAAAGTTTGTTAACTTTTGACCTGGGGCATCCTATAAACTAGGCTGCGTACAAAAGACCTCTTCTCTGCACTCAGAGGAAACAAACTCATAACGTTGGAGTTTATTACTGGCTCTTTCAGGGTTGAAGACATTTTAACATGAATTGTGTATGCAAAATAAAATTTTCTTTAGGGGCTTGAGTAATGACATATCTGACAAGAAGCAGCTTTTATTGTATGTGTCAAGATCATGGTTTTTAAAAATAAATGCCCACGGTGGGGGAAGGTCTCAGCGCCCCCATCTTGGGGTGGTGATGCTGGGTCCCCGCTGTGCTGCGTGAAGCCGTGTGTTTTGGGGACATCACCTGGCCGGGGTCAGCGATGAGAGGAACGGAGAGAAAGGACACAGTGTCATCTCTGCTGCGGCTGCGGGGGGCAGTGAGAGGGAGGGTCCTGGCCCCCTCTGTGTATGTGGGAAGGCTGGGGGTGGGGTGGCTCCAAATTCATCCCCAAGGCCCCACTTCCTCTGTGCTGTGTTCCCCACTGGCCACCGCTGAGGCACAAGAATGTGCCAGAGAGTGGGAAAATGAAGACGGAAAGCTTCAGGCTTCCTCTCCCACCTCCCCTAGGCCAGTGGGGCGAAGCCGGCAAGTGGGGCTGAGGCAGATCCCAGAGCAAACATTGCCTTGAGGCAAAATGAGGACACTAAAAAAAATGGCTTCCCTTTCCCCTTGCGACCCCAGACTGGCTTGCTTTCCTAGACTTTCCTTTCTCAGTAAGGCAGTGCAGCTGTCAGATTCCCCAGACACTTTGCTACCCCAGGATTCTCCCTCAGCCTCCCTTCGGAGCCCCGTTACCTGGCAGGGAGAACTCAGGTGACAGTGCCCTGCCTGTGCCAATGCTTTTATAATCTTGGGGGTTATGGGAGCCACGTAAAAACCTGCCCTTCCTGAGAGCATGGAGTGCCAAGCCAAGTTAGGGGCAAGTGGGGTTGTTTAGAGGGGTTTGTGGGGGGGGGGTACAGAACAAGGGAAGAGGAAATCTTTATTTGATTTTGTTCAACATAGTGGGATAACTTGCAAGCAGATAAATTCTGAACACTTTTGTTGTGGAAGATGGGATTAACAATATATAAAGCATCAACTACAGCAAACTTTATTTTTTTCCCATCCAAGTACTAACCAGGCCCGACCCTGCTTAGCTTCTGAGATCAGAGAGATTGGGCGCGTTCAGGGTGGTGTGGCTGTAGACCAGCAAACTCTATTTTGCTGGCTCTGGGGTGAATAACACTTTAGGGGAGATGAAAGTGAAAGGTACCTCACTCAACTGTGGTGGGTGTACCCAAATGTACACCACCCGCCAGGTGGCCGGCTTCACAGTGTGTGTGAGTGTGTGTGTGTGAGTGTGTGTGTGTGTGTGTGTGTGTGTGAGTATGTGTTCCCAGGGTTCATGTGTGCAGGTGAGCAAGCAAATATATCCAGAATGTAAGCTCAAGGCCATAAATACATTTCGATAATATAGACATGAGAGCATTCTGAAGTTGGTAAAGAGGATATAAAAATGTCAAGTTTAAATACTATTTTTTAATGTCATAAACGTGCTGCACCATCAGCACTCATTTCTTCTTGAGTCGTGTAAGCCATTGTTTCTTCTCTCTGATTCTTTTGCCTATTAATACACAGTAGGACCATGGTTACCTTTTGGCCATTTTCAACTCTGAAAATAGAGAGAAAAGGGCCACGGTTAACACCCCTCCCAGGCAGGGGGGAAAAGGCCTCTAATAAATGTTATTCCTCTGCTTGGGCTCCCACCAAGTTATGGCTCTCAAGCATAGATTACAAGCTTGTGTCACATTCAGATGAAGGGATTTCAGTCAAAAAGAACGGGACCTACATTTTAAAATGCCATGCACATTTAGAAGATTCCATGTAATGTCCAGTTTTGACCAATATTTCCATGTGAAATTTTCTATGCCCTCCTTATCTCGGGCCGCACCAAACCTCACGCAAAGCGAGGCAGGGAGTAAGCACTTCTAACATCAGCCTGGGCGCACGCCACCCGTGGTATTAGCGCTGCTGCCCGGGAAGAAAGGGGGCTTGTGTTCAGAGAGTGCTGGAAACATGGCAGAAAGCAGCCGTGCCCTTGCTAATGGACGGCTGTACTTCAGGAACGTGGGCCAGAGGCGATGCTGGCCTTTCATGTGGCTAATGGCAGTGTGATGGAGGCTTCAAGGCTTAAGTCTATCATTCAGAGCCAATTAACTTCTCACCACTCCCTGTTGTTGGAAATCGGATAACCAAGAGACCAAAGAAATTCGAAATCAGGACCTTCAGAGTGGGGAATGAAACATGTCATTTGCTTAGGCAAATATACATTAAAATCACTAATATCCCAATATCATTTTTAATAAAGTTGCTTCCTTCATATACCAGGGAATTATATATATAGAAGGCATTCATGTGTGTGTATATATATACATATATATGTGTGTGTATTACCAGGTAATTGAAAATCTTTTCGATTGTGTATCTTTTAATGTGTGTGTATATGTGTGCATGTATGTGTGTGTGTGTATGTGTGCGTGTGTGTGTATGTTAGGAAACCCAGTCTTTATCCTCAGATACTGTTTTTTAGGGATGGTGACTGTTCTCACTTATGCCAATATCATGTTAAAAAAACAAACAAAACTACTATTTGATGGTTATCATTGTGGCAGATTATCCTTTGCGGACAATGTGGGAATGATTCTTCCAGGGAGTTCCTTAGTAAAGGAGAAAGTGAGGTCACTGAGGTTGGAGCAGGGGTAAGTGTATCAAGAAAGAAGTCTGGTAAGTCAAGGAGAGCCCGATCTGGGGTGACCAGGCGGCTGTGTTGGAAGGATGAGGAATGGGGAGTAGAAGGAACATGGGAGGGAGGGCGGCGAGAAGGGTGGGGGGGGGTCAAGGAGGGTGACAGGAGGAGGAAGGGAAGGGAGGGGGGAGGGAGGGGACACACACATAAGGCAGCAGGCTGGAAGTGAGGGGAGGGCCAGGAAGAGGGGAAAGAGAAGAAAGAGAAAGCCCGAAATGATCAAAATATTAAATCAAATCCGAAAACCAAAGTCAGGCAAATGGTTACATACGTAATCTGATTTCGCCAGCATACTTACGAAGAATGACGTGGGTGATAACGAATGCAAGTATAAAGACTGTCAGAAAAGACAGAGATAAAATAAACATATAAAAAAATCTGTAGTTTCTTTTCCCCACACAGTTGCCTACCCAGGGACAGTGGTGATCAAACCGTTCTGAAATGAGAGGCAGAAAAAAAAAATACGGAAATCAGTTAATAAAATGCCTTTTTACTTGAGGAACCTCTCCCTGCTACCCAATACTCTGACAGCACAGCCGACCCTTAAACTGTGCTGGGGTGGGGGGTTAGGGGTGCTGACCTCCACACGGTCAAAAACCCCATCTAATTTTGACCTTCCCCCAGAAACTTAACTACTAATAGCCCACGTCAACTGGAATCCTAAGCAATCACCTACATAGTCGATTGATACATATTTGGTACAATGTATGTATTATATGCTGTGTTCGTACCATAAAGTGAGCTGGCGGGAAGAAAATGTTATACAGGAAGTCAGAAGAAGAAGAAAATATATTCACGGTACTGTGCTGTGTTTATGGAGAAAACCCATGTATAAGTGGCCCCACCGAGGTCAAGCCTGTGTTGTTTGAAATCATCCCATACTGCACATTTCCAAACTCCCCACTCAGAGAAATGCTTAACATTCAGAGAGCTGAAGCACAGAATCATTCCTTCAACAGAACTTAGCTGTTTTGAAAACACAAGGAACATACATCCTTCTCAAACAGCAACTTAAAAAAATGGGAGCTCAAGTTCTCATGGCAATTAGAAAAGTGAAGATTTCCCTGTTTCATAAAAGCAGGCTTGTTAGCTTCACAGAACAGTCTTCCCTTAGGATGGGGTTGTTAAGTGCTGGGCTGGGCAGGGCCTGGGCTCGGCTTCTCGCTCACATGTGTGCACGTGCACGTGTGTGTGTGTGCCTGGTGCTGAGTGACCCACCACCTCTATCATCATGCGTGTGTATGCACATGTGTGTGTGTGTGTACGTGTGTGTGTGTGTGTGTGGTACTGAGTGACAGCGCTCTCATCAGTGACCGCAGAGGGAGGTCACGGGGGCCTGTGCCAGGACACAGGGATGATCCCCCGTTCTGTCACCCCTAACAACCGTTTCCCAAGGAGCGCCTCCACTCTTTCAATAGTTGTAGAAAAATTTATTTTATTTTATTTTATTTTATTTTATTTTATTTTATTTTATTTTATTTTATTTTATTTATGTGTTGTGATATTTCTTTTTTTTTTTTTCCAATTTTTATTTAAATTCCAGTTAGTTACCATACAGTGTAATATTGGTTTCAGGAGTAGAACTTGATAATTCAACACTTACATATAACAGCCCGTACTCATCACAAATGCCCTCCTTAATGTCCATCATCCACTTAGCCCATCCCTCACCCTTTCCTCTTCATTAACCCGGAATCTGTTCTCTATCATTGAGTCTGTTTTATGGTTTGCCTCTCTCTTTATTTTTCTCCCCTGTGTTCATCTGTTTTGTTTCTTAAATTCCACATATGCGTGGATTCATACGCTATTTGTCTTTCTCTGACTTATTTTCCTTGTATCATGTACTCTAGCTCCATCCACAAATGGCAAGATTTCATTCTTTTTGATGGCTGAGTAATGTTCCATTGTGTGTGTGTGTGTGTGTGTGTGTGTGTGTGTAACATCTTTATCCATTCATTAGTCTACAAACACTGGGTTCTTTCTATAATTTGGTTACTGTTGATAATGCTGCTATAAACCAAAACTATTTTATTTATTTATTTATTTATTTATTTATTTTTAAATATTTTTATTTATTTCTAGAAGAGAGAGAGAGAGAGACAGCGTGAAGAGGGGAGGGTCAGAGAGAGAGGGAGACACAGACTCCGAAATAAGCTCCAGGCTCTGAGCTGGCAGTCAGCACAGAGCCCGACGCGGGGCTCGAACCCACTACCGCGAGATCATGACCTAAGCGAAAGTCGGACGCCCAACCGACTAAGCCACCTAGGCGCCCCAAACCAAAACTATTTTAAATGCGAATCTTTTTTAGGCTTTCCCAGACATTATTTAACCCCATGTTATTATTATTTCCCAGATTCTATTAAAGCATCTTCATCTTACAGGTAATTTAGCTGAGAATTGCGGACATATGAAGATCACAACTGTGTTAAATAATGTCTGGGAAAGCCTTTTTAAAAAGTACACAGTGGGGGCGCCTGGGTAGCTCAGTCGGTTGAGCGTCTGACTTCAGCTCAGGTCATGATCTGTGGTTCATGGGTTCGAGCCCCGCGCCGGGCTCTGTGCTGACAGGTAGCTCAGAGCCTGGAGCCCATTTCAGATTCTGTGTCTCTCTCTCTCTCTGACCCTCCCCTGCTCATTCTCTCTCTCTCTCTCTCAGAAATAAATAAAACACTAAAAAAATTTTTTTAAAAAGTACACAGTGTTTTGTGGTTTGTTAAGAGAAGTCACATACCTTGATACCCTTGGCCTTGAGCTAGTTTAGGAAGAACATGATGCTGCCCTAATTTACAGGTGAGCAAACAGAGTTCTAGAGAGAGGCGGGACTGCTCGCGGGGGGCCATCAGCTCAGAAGCTGGAGGGCCAGAACCTGAGGGCCCCACCAAGGGCCCAAGTGCTGGGATTGGGCACTTTCGCAGTGCTACCCCTGGTTCCCTCTGTACAGACCCATGTCTTCTCGTCTCGGGGACTTCACACAAAGTCTGTAACGTGATTGTGACTCTCTTTCCCCTTGCGAGTAATGGCCAAGTGCTTCTCTTTTCTCTACCCCTCAGCTGGTCTTCCATCCTAAGGACTATCCAGAGCGTCCCCCTCACACACTCACCCTGATTGGGCCACCCGCTGCCGGCGGGGCCAAGAACACCGCGGGCATGGCTTGGCTTTTTATGCAAGGTCTTTCCCAAGCTTAACTTCTATGCAATTTTCATATTTTAAATCCCTATATGTGATTGGTTGATTGATTGATTTTTAATATTGATTTATTTTTTGACGGGGGTCAGAGAGAGGGAGACACAGAATTTGAAGCAGACTCCAGGCTCTGAGCTGTCAGCACAGAGCCCAACGTGGGGCTCAAACCTACAAACCTCGAGATCATGACCCGAGCCCACATTGGACGCTTAACATGTTAAAATCACACAGGGAGGCCTATATAAGGTGTGATTATGTAAGTCAACCAACTGAAGTCAGGCAAGGCAGCGTTCCATTCCCTTCTGGTCATCTGTCACAAATCACTCATCTATTTTATGTTTCCTGCAAGCTTGCTTCTTGAGAAGGGCACAAGGACACCTGGGGACAGTGGTGGCAGAGGAGCTGTAAGAGTCATCTTTGTCTGCAAGTGGCGCTAACAAGAAATAGCCAGTCTGAGCAGGAAACCCGAAGAGAAATTTCAGGCCTCACTGGTCTGGTGACAGCCCGATGGCCTGTCACCAGAGGCTGGCACTTGAGGGAAGTAACTCCTATTGCTGGACCACATCATGTGATAACACGTGCCACCAAACCGCACAGCTGAAAAAGTGAACTCTTGTGTAAAAACAACCTCAGTTCTCCCAAGTCACGGGTCTACACAGCCTATCTTGGAGATGTCTACACAAAGAGCAAAAAGAGAGAAAAAACATCTGAACAAGTGAGATTTTCCCAAGACTTTGAGTCTGCTATTTTGAGATGCCTCTTCTTTATACATGAGCACAGAAAATGGGAATGAGAACTAGAGGCTGGGGGAGCACATGTCAGGTCAGAATCTCTGACCCCAGCTGTGAAAGCTGATCTCCAAATCCCACATATGTGGTGGATTGAGCCTCTTTGCTCAAGTGAAAGTTGCCCATCAGCACAGAAGACACTAAGGCGTGGGAGGCGTCATTAACATTGTGGACACCTCTGTCGAAGTACAAGGGTCTTTGCCGCCCACTCTAGACCACGGCTGCGGGGGCAGGTGGCTGTTTTGTTTTTAGCTTAGAAAGTTTACTAGGGGCTGAGGGAGGCAGAGCAACTGGAGAAGTGAAGGCTGTAGATGGTGTGCATGAGACCCTTGCTCATGGGGTCTGGGAGGCTTCCTGCAAAACCAGGCGTGTTCAGGAACGGTGTGAATGCCTGCTTGCCTGGCACTCTTGAGCTGGAAGCAGTTTCCACTTGGAAACTTGTCTTACTGAAAACTTTCTAGGCTGACAAAACTCCCACTGAAATGTAGGCTCCCCACAAAATTCTTTTATTGGATGTTTTCCATGTCCTTCTTGGTGTTTGTTGAATACATGATGGTAAATAAGCCTCCAAGACTCCGTGGGCATCTCTGTCTAATGGCCGCCTCGCACTGTGTCTCTCTTTCCCTCTCTCCGCCATGCCCTCCTCCCATCCCCTTCCTGTTTCCCTCTCTGCCTGACTTCTGGAGGTGGGCTGCACCCTGGGCTCAGCTTGGGCCTCTCCTCCCCTCCGCGGATTCTCTACCACTGGGAAGTGTCTCTTTATCCCAACGTTCAAATGCCAACCACACACTAGTGACGCCAAAATGGCCGAGCGCTGCCTTTGACGGGTCCTGTCAGCTCTACTCCCACGTTTCTCCAAAATCATTTATTTCTTGTTTGTGTTTGCCGACGCTACTCTAAGCCTTTGATGAATATTTGTCAAATGACTGAATAAGCCCTCGTACCACCGAAAGGACATCCACGCCAGCAAGCGTGTTGGCCAGTGCCACACAGTTAACGAGCAGCAAGGCTGGGACAAAGCCCCGCTCCGTCTGCCTCCAGGATCCTGGCCGCGAAACGCACGCTGCCTTTGAGTGTTTTCCCAGCGCCCAGCACCGTGTCAAGTGCTAGGAAGGAAAACAACAACAATAGCTCCCCAAGGCTTCAAGGCATCCTTATCTTACTTGATGGGATGCCTTATTTTCAGACTCCAGATATTCCTCAGACTCCAGGAATGAACTCGTAACAGAGAAACCAAGTGAGCGTCTAACTCAATCTGTTCTCTCACAAGTGTTGGCAAATGCACAACATTCTCCCTTTATGGGTCAAGGATAAAAAACCAGACAAGGGCACTCACCCCATCCTCTGTGGCTCTGAGTACCCTCACCCTGGCTCAGAGCGGAAGGAGCTCGGGGTCAGATGGGGGCGCTGGGGCTGTACTGAATGGGGAGGCTTCTGTTACTCAGTTTCCAGGGGAGAAGAGCAG